TGAACCCCTCCCCTGCTGAGCTACAAATGCAGAATGACAAATAAGAAAAGAAATTAGAATATGCCTACTAGTGTTGACTTAAACAAATCAAGCACATCAGTCAGTTAAAAACCCAGCTGCCATCATCCATTTCATCCTCCTTCCCCCAGATTTTATAGTATTAGATGGAGGTTCCTTTTCTACATGGCTGACTTTTTAAAATAAAGGAGAAATGCTGAAGACATTTATCTGAATGCTTTGCAGCATCATGGTTGGGTATTTGCTCGCTGCTGCTTCACTTTGTTGTTGTTGCACAACTCAAAATAATGCCTGGACTTGCTTTTGACTTCTCCACCAGTTGGCTTGTTCATAGCAGCTCAGCCAATTGGCAGGAATGGGCCAAAGTTCTCCAGACTTTTTTTTCATAATGTCTTAAACTTAATAGATATTTCTCCTTAACCCTAGTAAATCCATCAAGTGTTTGTCCAGAAACATTAGATTTTTTTGGTAATTAAAGAGTTGTTAAGCCCTGGAAGAGTTTCCTTAGCTGCAAAGTGATGAAATGAAAATTCTGTGTTTAGTGGCCAGGGGGCTGGATGATAACAGGAGACAGCAGTCATCCGTTTATTTTCTCTTGAGATGGAATATTTTGTTAATGAAGGTGGTGAAAAAAACAGTTCTTCTACAAATATTAACTTAGCCTGACCCTTCCAAGAGAAACAAAGAAGAAAAGGAACCTGGACTATTTTTTTTTCCTAGATTTTCAGTGTTACTTTACTCCAGACAACATAGAAAGAAACATTTATTAAAACCCATGAATGCAAGTTGCCAAAAATGAGTGGAAGCTAACTTATACTCAGCCACAGGTCAAGGAGCCATCAGGAGGTGGCTACTAGATATCAATAGTTGCTGAAGCTGTAATGGAAAATCTACTCTCTCCATCTTCAATAACATTGCTAGGTGTCTGGTCAGTGCAGGTTTGCGTTCGGTAGAAGAGATGTGATCTGTTCCAAGTGAAACTAAAGCTTTTCTTTCACTCTATATTCATTGAGGAGCATAACTCAAAAACAGGCTGAAGCATCTTGGCTTCCATATGTCCACTTTAACAGCAAAGGGAGGCTTAAAGCTTGGCTGTAGCAATGCAAGACTGCTTAAAGAGCAGCTTAGTTTGCTTGGCTGTTGATGTCAGCCCTGTAATAGTCTTGCAGAACACTACAGACTAAGTGGATACCCTTCACCTGGGTAGGTAAGGCCACACAGAAGGGATGTGAATATGCTCAGATATGAGATAAAGGTTACTTACCCCTCCAGATATTTCAACCCACTTCTAGACTTTACCATTTTCCCCCAAACCTCCGTGTTAGCACACCCTATATCCAAACACTTGGGCTGTTGGGTTTAGGTCCAAGCCCAGGCTCAGCTTCATCAGCCACCCATCACACCACACCCATCCCAAACAAAGAATGAAGGTACCTTTCTCTAGGCAGCTGGTGGTTAGGATTGTGCCGACACCGGACACTGAGGCCAAAGAGTTTGCGGGCAGTGCGCTGGATCTTCTGGCGCTGGGCTTCCAGGGAGCTCTGCAGCAGCTTGTAGCGGTTCTGCAGATCCCAGTCGTTCCCCCAGTGCTGGTGGATGCTCCCAATGGTCAGGAAGTGGTTGCTAGGTAGCCTTTTCATGAAGGATTTAAACTCATCTGGAACACAGAAAAATGTGGAGAAATACAGAGGTTTCTGAGCTATAACAAAGTTACAAAGCTTTTCATTAGCAGGATGGAGGAACAAAAACGATGTATGAGGCCATCAGTGTTCTGCTAAAGGAAGGTGATGTCCATTAACTCACTGGTCTGTCATTTTGCCCCAGGAAGCTCACTAATTCCATGGCTATTGCTGCTCCCATATGGGAAATGAAACCTGGAGACTGTTAGGGTGAAACAATATGGTTAATGTGTACAGGGTAAAGGAAAAAAGAGAGCAAATTCCCTGGAGTACAGGCTTATAGTCTAGGGGTTATGAACAAAGACCAGGGAGCTGTAATCATTGTCAGTTAAAGAATTCTCATTTAAATTGTTTTTCAGCTGTTCCTAAAATGCCGTTTGTTATTGAAGTCAAATCACTTTGTGTTGTTAGAAAAAAAAAAAAGGGGGAAAAAAAAAGCTTTAAAAAAGTCCCCAGAGGAAAGGTTTGGATTGTGTTAAAATTCTTGCTTTCTCATTTTTAAAAAAGAGCATTCTGATTCTTTTTTTCCTCATTTAACTTCATTTGAAGTTAAATGAGTTGCTTTATGTAACAATGATAATAAAATAGAATAATTTGCAGGGCTAAAGTCAGAACAAAATATGTCAATTTTAGCCAAAGGAAAAAATCTAATTGATCCAAAAATATGCTGTTAAATGTTGTTTTGTGATCACTTTATTTCCATTTGATTATGTTTGATAATGAAAAAAAACATTATGCAGGGTTTGTTTGAGTTGTTTTGGTCACAAAACAGAAAATCTGATACCCCTTTCTTCCTAACTGAGAAGTATGGTTTGCTTAGACTCTGATGACCAGAGTGGGTCATCCTTGTATGGAAAAAACAGATGGTTCCAACTTTCTCAGTAAAAAAGAACCCAATTTTTGATACCCAAAAACTGTGTTTGACACATCAAGACCTTGAGAAATGCAAGGAGTGAACCAACGAACACCCCATAAAGTGCAATACAGAACAAAGCTCTGCACCAGGGCAGAACAACCCCACACATCAGTACAGGCTTGGAAACAACCAGAGGAATACCAGATCCTAGAAAGGTCCTGGGGATCATGGTGAGCACCATGCTGAAGGTGGTTCAACACTGTATTCTCACTGGAAGTGACACAAACTGCAAACCAGGCTAAATCCAGTAGGCTGGGGAAGGTAATATTCCCTTCTTCTTGGCACACTGAGGTGGCATCTGCATTTCTCTGCCCAGTTTTAGGGACACCTAGTTAAAGATGAGTGTGGAGAAACTGGGGAGGGCACAGCTGAGGCTCAGGGGCCTGGAGCACAAGTCCTAAAAGATCAGGTGGAGGGAGCTGCACTTGCTTAATCCAGTGAAGAGGCCAAGGGGCAATCTAATTACAGCACACAACTCATCACATGGTGAAACCGAGCACCTAATAAAAACAATTATCATCACTGCACTATCAAGATCCACAGGACACCTGCTTGTCTCCTTGTTTCCCCAACGATAACTGAGAGTTGGGTTTTTTGTTTTGTTTTTTAATAATCTCTTAGGTTTTTCACTCTATTTGTAATGCTGCTTTCAGTGCCTTTCTCTTCCCCAAAAAATGATTCTCTCCTATTCAGTGGTCTTCTGAAACTATCATCATGTATAATTGCTTCTGTTGACCATGCTGATTACTCCTGGTACCTTTCAGCAGTAAAAGCCTTGCATTTGCTTCCCGCCCCTTATAAATCAATTTCCTCAAAAGCCTGTTTGTGCAAAAGACCAAGCTCTTTTCCCTCTGATGATGAATGTGCTACATTTTTCATAGAGACGGGGAAGGGAGAAATTTCAGTGCAGTGTGCACATTTTGATACTGCAGTGCAACGTTGGAGGAAAAACAAATGAGCAAAATAAAAGCTGGATAGGTTGGGTTTTGGTTTTTTTGTTTTTTTGTTTTTTTTTTAAAAAAAGAGGGGTGAAAAAAGAAAATACTTTCTAAAAAGAATAGTTTCTTCATTATTTATTTATAACTATCCCTGGAGGCCCCAACCAAGACTATGGTTACATTGTGCTAAGCCTTGTACCTTTCTGGGAATAGTTCATTCTCAACCCTGAGAATTTCCAATTAACTAATAAGGCTGTTTGCATTTATTTGTATTTTATTTAGCTGCATGGAAAGCATTGATGATGGCTAGGACTACATCTCCCATAATGCAGCATGGGCCCCTCTTATTGCAGAGTCACCCAGTCACTGCAGGCAGTCCCATGGCAATGACTCATCATCACAAGTGGTACAGGGCAGAAGGTCCTGCCTCTGGAGAAGAATAGTGACATCACAGCAACATGGCCATGTCAACATCACTTTCAAAGAAGAAGCTTTCGTTTTTCAACTACTTGTCTTTTCAGTTTAAAAAAAACCCCAAACAAAACCCCCCAAAAAACCCATTTTCATCAGAAAGATAGTGACATCACAGCAACATGGCCATGTCAAACATCACTTTCAAAGAAGAAGCTTTCATTTTTCAACTACTTGTCTTTTCAGTTTTAAAAAAAACCCAAACAAAACTCCCCAAAACCCCCATTTTCATCAGAAAACAATAGTACTGCAAAAAACCCTCCATGACTTTTAATCAAAAGGCTGTTTTAAAATCCAGAATCACAGTCCTGACATGGAAATTTTTGGCCAGCCATACTAAAATGCCAAGAATAAGGCAGTGTTATTTTTCTCAATTTACACATGAGCAATGAAGCACAGGACTAAGAGAGAGCTCCTGAGCTGATTTAAAACAGCATCAGTTCACTGCAGCCTCCCTGACTTTGGAGATGCTATCCCAAATCACACCAAATCTTGATTTCCCATGCACAATTTTTTTCAAATTGACATAGGAATCAGAAACAGAATATAGATCTTTTAGGCTATCAGCAGCTTCCTGTGCAAATGGTATTTGCTTTCCGAGCACTCATGTGCCTTTCAGCCCACTTTATTGGAAAAGCCTTCAGATGTCATTAGAGATTTCTTTCCTGCTCTTCATATGAAGAAAATCCTCTGGTTATTGGGAATATTTATTAAAACAAAGCAGCAAAATACTAATAATACATTATTTTGTGATAGCAACTTTCATCTCCAAGGAGAAGTTCACGCATGATGCAACAAAGTGATGAATGAGATGCAGCAGCTTTAAACGTAAAGATAATCACTCCATCTAGCCCTGAAAAGCCTCCGAGCCCTGGGTGGAATATGGCTATAGCACAGCAGAGAATTGCTCTGCAATGTGTCACTTTAACATGGCAAATGAAAAACACCTTCCCCCGCCGAAATCTCAAGGGAAGAGAGAGTGAATATCATTAACTACCACAGTCTTGGCTTAGATCAAGTGCAACAAGTACAGAATGTAACAGTAAAACAATCACTGGGGGAGACTGTAATTCTTCTCTCTCCATGGGGCTCTCACCTTCTAAGTGTCTGGGTTAGACCTCCTGGGAAGGTAAAGGAGTTTGATGAGTGGTGGCCAACACATGGCTCTTCAGCATCTTGTGTGAAGATCCTGTGCCAGAACTAGAAACTTGTAGCACTTAACTAGTGGTAGAGTTTGTGTACTACTGAGCTAGCAGAAGCTTCTGAAATCCACATTTCAGGTCTGCCCCTGTGTACCCACCCCATCCATGAATCTGTAGAAATTCCCAGAAAGCCTCTGACCTCTTCAGCCCCAGCCTCGTAGCACTTCATAGTATATGGGAGGCTCTTGCCAAGATGGTCATCAGCCTTGAATCATTAACTACTACTCTGAATTTGCTCAGCTGAACACCCAGTTGACCATGTGAGGGGGACATAAGAATCTGTGCAACAGCAGACACACTAGCAGGGTCCACATATGAAGCAGTCCTCAACAGCCCACTGAGGAAACATCATAGACTGCTTCATTTTGACCATTAAAGGGATTAAGGTGACCTTCAACATGAAGAAAGAAATTGCTGCAGAGGAAGAGAAAAAACTTCTGAAGAAGAATTCTTCAATGCCTTGAATGGAGCTAGATGGTCCCTTCCTCATAGTTTTCTTTCCTAACATGGAGACCTGGACAGTTATGACAATAATCATCAAAGAAAATATGTTGGAAAGGAACTGACTAACACTTGGAGCTGAAAAGCAGCACAGGGATAAGAACTTCTCGATTAAGTTCTGCTTAGTACCTGCGTGGCTGCAGGTAGGCAGACCACTTGCTACAGGAAAGGCTGTAACTGCACTGATAATATTGCTCTCTTTCCTACCTCAAGCCCTTGAGAGTGATGTTGGACATCTACTATGGGTGTTACCAGCATCAGTGTGGAACAAATTCCACTGACACCCCATTGTTGCACTGGGAGAAAGTGAAAGAAGAGAAATGTCCACACCAGCAGACATCAGCACTGCAGGAGAGAGAAGTCATTTTCCCTTCTCCTCTCTGTCTCAAATGAGGTGTCATCTGACCTGTGCTCTCTTTCTGAATTGTCTTTCACCAAAGAGAATAAATCATTCATGCAAATCTGAAAAGCAATTTCTGCATCATTCATATTGTGGAAGTTTCTCTGTAGAACTATTGAAGGAGATTCTGAGCTGGTTTAGTATGAAAAAAATCAGATTTTTTAATCAAACAAACTTTTCCATGGGAAATATCCCCTTATACATAGAATTATGTGTGGTGTGTGTCTTTGTCTGTATGTATATAGCAAAAAAAAAGGCACTTCCTCAAGACTAAGGTCATGTTTCTGGGTTCGATAAACTCTCTTTTTTATCCAAACTGGAACATTATATTAAGGGAAGAAAGAATTCTTAACTGGTATAATCTGCCATGTTTTGTTTGAAATAAATCCATTGGAAAATGTGTTTTGCTCGGTTACCTGAATTCTCCAGATCTTTATAGGCTTCTGTCCAGGTCTTGGCCATGTTTGCTAGTGTGTACTCCATGATCTGGATGTCGGTGATGGGACAGTTGCACTGGGGGAACTCCTCGGCACACTGGCAGCCACACTGGCTGTTCCGGCAGATGTACTCCCCCTCGCCATTGCACATGATGTAACTCAAGGCAGACTGGACAAACTTCTCTTGTAAATACTGAGGGAAGATGATCTGGAGACCTGGCATGGAAACGAGAGGCAAGAATATTAAAAAAATAGATAAATAAAAATAGTAATTTTGGGGTATCTCCTCGGCCCACTGGCAGCCACACTGGCTGTTCCGGCAGATGTACTCCCCCTCGCCATTGCACATGATGTAACTCAAGGCAGACTGGACAAACTTCTCTTGTAAATACTGAGGGAAGATGATCTGGAGACCTGGCATGGAAACGAGAGGCAAGAATATTAAAAAAATAGATAAAAATGGTAATTTCAAGTATCCATTACTCTTTTCAAAACCTGTTTCATTAACAGCTTGAGAAAGTGATGCTGAGGAATTAAAACTGCTGGGATATTTCTCTCGGAGCTCTCGTGTAAGGAAGGTGGGGTACAAATTGCACATAAGTAGTGAGTTAACTGAGAGCATAGCCCATCTGCTCTACGAGAGCAGGGTGACAAGTAACTTCCCTCTCCCCAACACCCAGTATACCCCCTTCATCCCAGTCCTGGATCCCAGTACAGTACAAAGCATCTGAATGCAAAGCCTCCCTTATGCCCTTATTATTATTTTTATACTTTCCAACCAAGCGCTAGTTCAGAAGGGATGAGCGTTACACTGTTCTAACCTGTTTTGAGAGGGACTAAATAAGTTTGGTACCACAGAAACAAGGAAACAACAACACTGAAAGAGAAAAGAAAAAGGAAAACAGAAGGAAGGAAAATAATACAAGCAGGGATTTATAAAGACCCGTGCAGAGTTAAGTGCCCAGCTCCCACAGAATAAATACAGGAGTTGGGTACCTGAGTCTTTTCAGCTCGCTCCCTGCTAGGAAGGCTACTTGCCAAATCCTATAAAAGTGCAAATGGATTTAGTGCCAAAGATTTCCGTGGTGCTCTGGAGATTTACATTAGCTGAGAGATCTATCCCCATGGCTCTCTCTCCGTGGTGAGTGTTTGTGTTTCCATCCATCTGTGCAGGCATTAGCGTTGGTGTACGCTTGCTCAGGTACCAGAGGACATGATAACGGTGTCGGTGTTTGTCTGCTGTACACTGTACGTGTTTTTCTATCCTGTCCTTCATTCCACACGCATTTCTGAGCTCCCTACAGATGTCCCTGAGGATTCACAGCTGTTTCCTTCTACCTGGCGAGTCCTGCTTGTCAGACTCGGTCAGCATCTGCGGCGCACGAGGCAGAGACAACAATAACTCTGAGCAAGCGTTTCACGGGAAGCCTGGCTCGCTTCACCTTCCTCGTAAAAGGCCCAGGGATTTCAGAGCAGCAGATAAAGGAGTTTATGGCTTGAACAGCAGAGCTGAACTCCAGTGTAATGAAGGCACGCGGGTCAATTACCCATCTGTTTGTGTTTCTATTGCGCTGAATTACTGTACCCGTGGCTGACAGCTCATTGGAGTGGAATGAAAATAAGACAATAATTCAGAGGATGAGAGCGTGCAGGAAGGGCAGGAAGGGCTGTGACTCCTTTCAGAAGTTCAGGCCCATCTCTCTGATGGGTCATGTTCACTTCAGGCAAGAGAAAAGTGGTGGACAGTGCCCCAGGGACCCCCATTACCCTTTTGCTTTTGGTTCCACAGAGACACTTCAGGCTTGACAAGGTCCCTCTGGAAGACCAGGTCTGGGGGGATCAGGAGGGTGTTGAAGGCTGTTTCCTTTCCCCTCCTGCTATTGCCAGTCTCCGAGAGCACCATGCCTGGTGGCAATGAGCTGCCCCATTGTCTGACCTAATTCGCAGTTGAGCGTGGAGCAGCGGCAGCCGCCGGGCAGGGTGAAGGCAGAGCAGCCTTCAGCTGGAGAAGATGTTTGTGACACTTGCACAGGGAAGGGTTTCAAGCCTGGCATTTGGATGCACTGTATCTGTGTAGATCCTGCTGCCTTTTCTGCAGTGCTGTTGCAGGGAAGGGAGGGGACATGCAAAGAGCTGCCCACAGTCTACAACATCCCTGTGAACACCTCAAAACTAGTCTAATGAGGATCACCATTTTGAGGTCTCTTTGGTCATTCCCGAGATGTTTATCAACAAGATAATCTTCCGTTGTCTTCAGGAAGGACTGAAGTTCAGTCTCTTTTAGGGACTTAACCACCACAGGGGAATGGTCCCTTTTCAAACCTTCACACTGACGTTAGGGATGGTCCCCCCTGCCAGGCTCCAAGACTTTCCTTCAGGATTGAAAGAAAATGCAGTGCTATTGGAGAAATGAGATCTAGAAAAGGGGCTTGGAGAGCCTGAAGGCTGCTGTACTCCCTGAGCTTGCCAGCTCACAGGAGAGGTGAGCTGGCCTTCTTGATGTGCACTGACCCTGTTTATTCATGGTCCAAGTGCCACGAACAAATCTTTCTGCTCTTTGTTTCATGGAGCAGCACCTGCCCTGGTTGCTCCTCTAACCCTTGAATATGAGGCCCAAATGCCTGTAGGCTCTTCAACTCACCATCTTTTCTTTGAATTTTAACTTGGATAACAGCACGAACATGCTGTCTGGTCCCAGCTACAACTGGTTTTGGAGATATTTTTCTGGAGGGAAGGTAGCTAAAAAAAAAGCAACTAAAATTTCAGGAAAAGCACTTCCCATTGCAAGGGACATCCACTGTGTATATCAGCACAGGCAGAAACATGAATACCCTGTTGATCTTCAAACCATAACATGGTCCCATCCTACACTGCAGAGTGCCTCATGTGTACTTGTTTTTTGTCCATAAAACTCATGGTTTCTAGAAACATATTTCTAGGATAACCTTCTCTTGTAAGAAATAATCATACCCCCTGCACACTTAACACCAATTCAATAAAACACTTATATAAAGACTTAACTTTAATCAGGTAAGCAGTTCTGTTGGAATCTATGCAGTTAATTGTAGCATTTAACAGGCAGCACATATTCAAATATGTGCTTAGAGCAGGAACACAAGTGACACACAAATCCAGCACACGAGTGTGCATACACCAAACACAAAGCTCTAACTTTAAAACTGCAAACATGCTGTAGGGATTACATGTGATTCAGAAATCTTCCAGCCAGGAATTTCTTTGTGGAAGGAATCAGTTGTAGTGCTACTGAAATACAACCATGCCTGCTTTCACATTTGTACTTTCACACACACACACACATATATATATATAAAAATACGTAGATATACACATACCTACACATTTATCATCATACCAAGACAAGGGCAAATTCATATCAATATTTTTGGTTTTGTATTGAGCTTCCTTGTGACCAGATCCTAGTAAGATATTTTACAAGTACTGGGGCAGTAGTATCTCAGTCCTGGAACCCTCCTCCATCATTTATATGTAGTTCTGTACTATAACCTGTGACTAAATATTGCTGAAAGTCACTTGTTTATAGCTGTCAGCAAAGCACAAGTGTGATTGACCATTTTTAAGGTAATCTTTACAAACATGAGATTTTAAGAAGGCCATACTGGTTGAGGCCACTGCTCCGAATGCTTCAGTTGCCACCTTTAAAGCTGTAGTCCCAAGGACTCTAACAGCACACCAGCTGGCATGTGAGCTGGGAAAGCCCTGCTGCCAGCCATGACCTTAATAAAACATCCTCAAAAATGTTGTCTTGTTCTCTCAGAATTTTCTTTCAATACAAATAAAACCCAAATCTTCCAAGTGTTGTCTACTGACAAAGCAACCCCACATCAGCAGCCAAGCAAGGGGGCAACCTGATCTTAAAGGCTGAGACACTGAACCATTTTCATGGGGTGAACACCTCAATCCAAGCCAGGGCACACAAGGAATGGTTTCATTCCACAGCAGCCTCAGTAGCTGGTAATACATGCAGGAGGTATGTTTGCTGGTGAGGAGTGCTAGGGAGAATATCTTCATTTTGAAGGTAATTTATTGATCAGAAGGAGGAATTCTGCCACTTTGTAAAGCATAAAGTTCCTCTTTAAAAATTAAGAGCAGCACAGATTTGGTATAGGTTTGTCTTAGATAAATACAGACAGAATATGTAGCACCTGACAAGGGAACATGCCCTTAATTCACCTAGAAAAACTATTAGAGAGAGATGTTTGGCTTTGGACTGTATATAAAAGGCTTCCTGCATTAAGAGAGGTAAATTTCCCCAGCTCTAAATTAGAGCTATTTGAAACATTTTCCACAGAAGAGTTCTCTGTTGAAAATGCAGTTTCATTGAAGCGTTTGGTGAGAGCATGTTGACTCCAAAAGCACTTTTGACAGGGAAAGGTCTAAATGTATTTTTCATACTTCCTTATTTTGTTTTGTTGAAGAGCTGAAATGTTTTATGTTGTCATTACTGCTCTGCCCATCCTAAGACTTTAATATTAATTGTAATGTAAATTTTAATATTCTAGTGCCATATTTGACACAACAAGATATCTAATATGCAATATTTCCTGTTTAATGTTGCAATGCTTAGAATAGCACAAAAGGATTTTACCTTATTGAAATAGTGCCATGTTGCAATATTGACATATACTGTCACGCTGTCCAAGAGGATACATCTCTAGAATTTTAGTTTCCTGAAACTTTTCAAAATGTTGCTTTTTTTTCCCATTCAATTTTTCAAATTTCAGCCTAGGACACTTTTCCAAAGAACACCAATTCCTGTTTCCAACCAGATTGCTGTAGAGCTGTTAACATCTTCCCCTCCCACGCTCTGGTTTACTCCTTTTCCCAGTAGCACAGGCAGCTTGTGCATCTACCACACTGGAGGAAGAGGCAGGTGAAGGGATGGTTTTGTGCTGGTGGCAGGCACAGGAGGATATAAAACACAAGTAAGTGCAGCCACCTGTGAGATCCTGGCTCACAACAGGATCCTCTCAGCCCTGTGAGCTGAGGCTGCATGTGCAGAACCCTCCCCGTGCACAAGACAGGGAACCTGTCCCCAAGTAGTGCTAGGAAAAAGGGAAACCTTCTGAGCTACTGTGATAAATGTATCATCTACATACCCCAGTGCAGGCATTTGACACAGGTGTACATGCACACTGGGTCCACATAGATACTGGTTCATAAAATAGCGATGTTTTCCTGTCCATGTAACCATGGGTGCAGAACCCTGCGCTGTTCATGCTTCCAGGTCCTCCCCTAAATCTCCAGCCTGACTGACCTTCCCAAACCCTATATGCAGGCATGAAGGTAGCTTAGCTCTGGATCTGGACACTGTGTCTCCTAAAGGGCATGTCTTTGAAACCATGACTCTCAGGGTTGGAAGGCAGCAAGCAAGTTCAGAAACAGAAATTCTCCCTGTCACGAAGATGCTGCTCTTTTATTGAGCTGGCCTCGGAGCCAGAGTGACACAAAGGGAGTAACATGGATTTCTGTCAGCAGCTCATGCTCAGCTGCTAAACAGATCAGAGGAGACTCAATCACGATCCATTACCTGCAGCCCTGTGACTAATTCCTAATGAGGCCTCTCAGAGCAGAGGAAGGATCCTGGGTAATTATCCCAAGAACCGCACTCCAGATTAGGTGGAAAACACTCAGGTGTAGCTTTAAAGGTCATTTTGTTCTGTTAGGAAGAACTCTTACCTCCCTCCCTTCCCTCACTGTCTCTCTTGTTTTGGGTCTGGCCTCTCTCAGCACTGGTTTATGCCATGAAACTCCATGAAACCCATATGTGGTTGAACCCTGAGGTCCTCTGTCTGCTCCCATCAGAAATCAAAGCCTCACCCAACTTACAGTCCCTCTCTCTCCTAAATTTTCCCTGTTCCTCCACCTCCTTTCCCCTCCCAGACCTCTTGCTTTTTCTCTTCTGTTGTAGGATCAGATAGCCAACAGAGATCTATTGATTTACCTACTTACCAGTTCATCTGCCTTAAAATTGAGCTGTCTGCTTATTTAGCTGTTTATCTAGTTATCTTTGGGTTTTCATTACCAGCAGCTATCATCACAGTATATAAAAAGCCTCAAATTGTTTCTTGTTAATTAGGTAAGAACCAGAACTCAGTGATTTAGATAATCACCGGAATAGTGAAAACAACCTGCCTATTATTTTTAAAGGCAAATAATAACAACAATAATAATATATCCACAACATGACTCAGTAAATGAAACCCAGTTTCTGTGAAACCAAGATTAAAACAGCACTTGCCAAATTATACTCAAAGCGGAAGATGTAATGTAGCCCATTCATCTGAAAAATTAAAATTTGTGCAAGTACAAGGATTCCAGAAATAAAACCATCTGGGCAAATGAGCAATTAAATCCCACATTTCCTTATTTTGTAAAAAACTTGGGAATAACCTTAGTAAATTACACGCCCAGTGAATTTTCTCCTTCTACTGAAGTTGACTTCTTGCTAACCAGCATGTATTTATTTATTAATTCAGTCATGACCTCTATCTGTTGACTTCTGGACTAGCTCCCCAGCTGGGACTGAAGCCATGGCTTCTAGCATCCAAATAAAACCTCAGTGACTTTTCCCAAAGATTACGGTCATTAGAGAGTCCCAAAAGCTGATCTGCAAACCTCTTACGCAAATCAGCAATTTGGGAGGGACAAAGAGAGACACGGACAGAATGCCCCTTCAATATTAATGGAAAAGGTCACATTTATTTATATCAGTGTGTGTATAATACCCAGAAGCCCATCAAAATTCAGTAGCAGGGGGCACCCAGACAACTCACTGGTGTCCAGCCTGCAGTTCCTCGTGCCTTTAGCTCAGTCCCTGTCAAGCCCTGGCTCTGCTGTGCTTGAGCATCATATGAAGCCACCAGTCCTGCTTCAGGGAACTTACAGTGAAGACGGTGATTGCAGCAAACAGAGGAGGGGAAAAGGCTAGAAAAAAAGGGTACACCTCTCTCATTCATCCCCCCCACCCTGTGCCCTGTATTACCATCTCCCTCATTCCTGTGCCCTACCTTGCAGGTGGAGTTTGCTCTCAGTGCTTTGCAGAAGGACAGAACTCACAGAGTCCAGATTGTCGTAGCTGTTACAGCCCAGTGGGCCAGTCCGAGTTTCTGTTACCTGTGGAGGATGTAGAAAAGAGAGAGTGTTCCTTTTGATGCCAGCATCACATCTTCCCCGGGCAGGTTCAGACCATGTAATATTATGACACCTTGTCACCAGCTGCTGCAATCCAAAATTCATCTTCCCTAATTGGGAAAAAATGCCCCACGCTGGACAGACACAGCTAATGTTTGGCACACTCACAAGCTGAAAAAATAGAGTGAATTGTTTCTGCTTTCTTTATGGTACTGCCTGTTATTCTGAGCTTGGCAATGAGATCCTGCAGATTCATGTTTCTCATAGAGGTTCTCCATTGGAGAACATCAGAAGCCAGTAGAGGAATTATTCCCTGGCTTCTCTTATTGGAAAGCATGATACAGAGATGGATTGCCAGCTCACAATGGTGCCTGGTGCTCCCACAACATATGTGCACACCATCCTTGTGTTGAGGATAGATGGAGGCACAGATGACCTGCAGTGCTGTTGCTGTGGTTGTTGCTGTTGGTTTCCAGCCACAGAGGAGAGCTGCCCTTCCTGAATTCACAAAGGGTGATTATCTGCTGTCACTATTTCAATATCTCAATTCGATTTCCCATCCAGAAGGGAACAGACTCAGCCATGAGACACCACAGAACAATAACAAGAGCTGAAACCTTTCAGAAATGGCTAACAATGACAACTCCATCCACATCACCTTCCCTGGAGTGAACTCTGCAACAATAAAATCCCTCCCCAGTACAGCATGATTGCTTTCAGAGAAGGCAGCCTTTGTCTGCAGAGCCATTTTCCCTACTTTGTATGCTCTGAGCAGCTCCCCTTCCTTCCTGCTGCAACCCCCAAGCTATCTCTCAGTCCATTTCATTCCAGACACCTCAGTAATGCCACACTGAGTTTTCCACCTTTTCTTGTAGTAAATATGTCTGAGAGATGTTTAGCAGTCTTACACCTACACCAAGAGGAAAATACTTCTGGGTTGCATGGGGTTGCCCATTTCACAGACCTGCCTTTCCCTTCGAACCTCCATTGCTGATCTGGATTATCTGTTCCCTCTCTCCCTTCCAGAGGTCAGTGCCACACATAGTGGAAGCCTCTTGTCCTACATAACCATGACACCGAATGCCCAGTTCTTTCCAGATATTACTGGCCCTAGGGAAATAAATTCTTCAGTAAGGTCCATAAGAGAAAAATTTACCTTGGGAAATCAGCACAGGAACAAAATAACTTGTGGTCAAAAAAAGACATCACACTGGACTGGCAAAGTCCTGCCCCAAACCCCTACAGTATTGGAACAGACACATGGTTGTCTTTCTCTTCCCAAGGCAGGATATAGTACCTTGATTGCTCCAGTAGAGATCTGGATCTCATGGAGTCTCCTCATGGTGCCATCACGGTCTACAAAGTAGGAGGAAGCAAGCTGGTGCAATGCTTCAACGCTCTGGGTAGCGTTTCCTGACTTTCTGTCAAGGCGGCTTTTGTCCATGTACATGGTCAAGGCCTCCTCCCCTGCAACAGAAAGAAAAGGAGGTTTCAGTAAGGGCCAGGAGGCTGTCATGTAGGGTCATCTTAAGAGGAAGATGTGATCTCACATGTTGCACCTAAAGAAAAGTCTGACATCCAAAGCACTCTTCAATGTACCCGCCCTTCCTCACCAGTACCAGAACCTCAGTGTAGTACATATGAGCCTCCTTCTCAATTCAGCCAGAAAGGCCAGGTCCACCACACTTGTAGATCAGCCCTGAATTGAACAGATAACGTTTTGGACGTTTATTAACTAACGTAGCTTTACCACAACTGCTAGAAAGGGTTCAGACCATTTGTTCCACTTGAGGAACACATTTTTCTGTGGGTAGTGCCTCTTGAACCATGCACACCTGATCAAAAAAGATACCACTCTTATGCAATTCTCTGACTTGATTTCTGGAAGGAACAAATGATGATTTACGTTGCAAATAGGACACAGGTAGGTAGGTGGGTACAGAGGACAAGCAGATGCCAGTTGTACCTCTAGCTTCCAGTGACCATACAAAAGGGTAAGGGTGGGGGTCTGAGGGAAGGAAAGCAATCAGAGGAAAGAGTAAATGAGAAAGTTAAACCAACTACACTTTCCCTTTCTGATTTTTTTTCCTCTCCTAGAGCCTCATTCAGTAAATTTAAGTGGAGAGCAAAAAATATTGTGCAAAATAAGGAACAACAGGTGATTCTGAGCCAGAAATCATAGATAATGTGGGAGTGAAGCAGCTAAGACCTGATAGCACCAAACATCCTAAACATTAGCAGAAACCCAAATATAACAAAAGTTTCATGGAAAGGACACAAAGCTAAGAAGTAATATTTACCCAAAAGTTCAATTTGTGCCATATGAGCCAGCTTAAAATCCAGTTAATTCTTAACATAGGGCTGGCATTATAGAAGGAGTAAAAAATGTAAAATCCTGCATTAACATCTGAAGTTCTGATTTTAATAAATGAAGAGAATAGAAACCTAGAGTAGGAATGTGCCATTTCTACATAGCTCTCTTAATGAGAAGAATGGTACTTGTTCTGATTTGATAGATGAACTACTGATGAATACATTGCCTCTGGCAATGATAGCATGGGAAAAAAAAAATGCACCACCACGTTTTAGGCCAAGAAATATTTTGCTTTTCAGCATTTTTGCCTGAAAAGAAGCACTTACTTTTCTTAAAAATTTGTATTAGCTGAAACAGTTTGATTTGTCCAAATAATTTATTTTATTGCATGCATGCAAAAAATCCCCAGGAAGCCCTTCCCTTTGCTTTCCACAGAAATTTTCCAGCTTTTATCTGGAAGCCAAATGCCTGAAAACAAACTAAAAATATTCTGGCTTAAAATCAAAATATTTTTATTGGATCTCAGTTTTTCAAGCTATTGATATGTTGAGGATTGAGCCTTTGGCTTTGAGATGAAAAATGGAAATTTTTGGTGAAAAGAAGATACTTCTCATCAAAGGAATTGATCAGTTGGAATCTTTTAATTAGCTTCACAGGAACTAAGTGGAGAAGTTTGGCATGTAAAACTTTCTTGCTTTAATATTGTTTTAAAAATAATAGATTATCCTTTGACCACAATCAAGGTTGTAGTAGTAACAGTATCATCATTATTACAGCTCAGAAAAAAAAAAACCACTTTCCCTGGAAAATGACCAGTTTTGGTTTCCTTTATCACCATTAGCTTCATCACATGTTGAGCGATGTGAGGAGACCTTGGCAGGGATCAAGGCTCTGTCACATCAAGCTCTATCTACACAAACAGCTGAAAGATGGTTCCTGTCCCAGAGGATTTAAACCCCATGTATCTGATGAGACACACAGGTGTATACAACAAACAGCCAGCAAAGCACAAGGTAATAAGATGACTGTAATTAGTGTGAGAAACAGCGGTCACCGCACACCAGATGCCTGGCTGCTGTCAATGCATTTTCAGGTTTTATCTTTGAGGTGAGTTTTACAGGGGGATTTGAAGGAAGGTCAGACGTTGTGAATTTTCATGAGGCAACTCGTTTGCTACCAAAAGGACATCTGCATGGGAGTTAGCCCAGAGGCTTGGGGGAAAAGAGAGGCTGGATCAGTGTGAAAGTGCTGTGTTTTGAGCCAAAAGTTTTGTATCTCTCACGTAATGGGAGTATTTATCTGCATGGAGATGCAGCAGACAAATGATGCTTTGCCTCCATTTCTTGGGGCTGTGAAAGGAGAGGGAAGACCTGGGATAGTTCTCGCCTTAGCTGTGATTCACAGAGGAAGCTGGGGGATCCAAGTATCATCTCATTTTCAATACCACCAGTAAATGGAAAAAATAATCAACCTTTGTGAAAAATATCATGTCTTCTTTTAATAGTCAAGGTGCCAAAAATCAGGACCTCTTCGGTCCAGACCAGTTCATTTTAGTAGAGGAATACTGGGACTGGAGATCCCTCAGATAAAGAGCAGCCAGGGAGCATGGGCTGAATCACATCAGGCAATAACACTGGTTCCAGATCACCAGGAGATCTACTGTTGGCTTTTGGTCCTCAGACAACACAAAGCAGGCAATGATCAGCTGAAACAGCTTCTAGATATCAGACAGGAGAAACTTGTCTTCTAGGGCAGTGGA